CATCAACAGATGGAACTGGAGGGTACTCTGTTGAGTGAAATAAGTCAACCAGAGAAAGACAATTATCATACGGTTTCATTCATGTGTGGAATATAAGAAACAGCACAGAGCTGGTAAGGGAAGGGAGGGAAAACTGAATGGGAAGTTATCAGGGAGACAAACCATGACTCACAGACTCTTAACTACAGGAAACAAACTGAAAGCTGCTGGAGGGGAGGTGGGTGGGGGGAGGGATAATTGGGTGATGGGCATCAAGGAGGGTACGTAATGTGATGAGCCCTGGGTGTTACACAGAACTGTAAATTACTGAACACTCCATCTGATACTAATGATGTACTATATGTTGGTTAATTGAATTTAAATTTTTTAAAAATGAAAAAATATGTATAATTTGTGGAAGAAAAAAAAAAAACAGGTCAAAGATAGATTCCCTGAATCCCCTAAGCGCTCACTATTGAAACTTTAATGTCCAGAAGATCAGGGTGGGGAAGCCAGGAAGCTGGTCTCGTTCTGTGACTAACTGTGTGGTCTTGGGCAAGTGTCTTTCCTTCTCTGGGCCTCGGGTTCAACATCTGCAAAGTGAAAGGCTTAGATTAAATGATCCTTAAGGTCCCTTCTGCTCTGAATGAGGCCCTTGGACCTGCCCAATTTTATAAATGAACAGTGACTGGACTTCACGATGCCAGCTGCTAAGTAGAGCCCCAAGCAATGGCTGCTGGCTGGAGACAAGACACAACCCACAGAGGAAGGACCTCACAACTACATCCCCTCATGTCCTTATCAGTCGGGATAAAGAAAAATGCACCAGACTGCTCTCTGATGGGGAGAAGGGACAGGATTCTGACTTAGCCTAAGTCACCTGACTTTCTTTTTTTTTTTTTTAGATTTTTATTTGTTTGACAGAGAGAGAGAGATCACAAGTAGGCAGAGAGGCAGGCAGAGAGAGAGAGAGAGGGAAGCAGGCTCCCCACTGAGCAGAGAGCCCAATGCGGGGCTCGATCCCAGGACCCTGAGATCATGACCTGAGCTGAAGGCCGAGGCTTTCACCCACTGAGCCACCCAGGCGCCCCAGTCACCTGACTTTCATCCCATAAGCCTAGCTTCTCATAGTAAGACTAATACGCTTGTCAAACTTTAAAAAAAAAAAAAAGTGACTGATTCATAACAACCCAGCAAAATACCAGAGTTGGAACAAGAGCAAGTCATTGCAACATGAATCTAGAGGGGAGGTTTCTGTCTTCATTTTCTAACTGACAATGACAAGCTTTTCACAAAACTCAGGCAAGCTGCAAGTCACTGATAAAGGGAACAGCCACTTGAGCAAAGACAGGCCCAGATAGGAGAGGCCACCCAAGTGACCCCTAGGACCCAGGAAAGCCTCACTGGTTTGAAGGTGATGCCCAGCCAGGAGGAGGGAGGGATGTGCTGGGGGAGGTTGCTGATGCTACAGGTAGGCCGAAACCACACTCTCCGTGGCAACAAAGGCTCAAGTTCAAATACCAGGAAAAATCAACGGTCTCTGCACTATTAGCCTCAGCTCATTAGCCTCTGGGTAGGTGCTTTCGCTGGGTTCTGAATCCCCAAATGGACAGGGATGTCCAGACCAGCTGGCTGCCTCCTCCTGGACCTGCCTGCATCTGCCGCACACCCCTTCCTGCCTCCCAGATCACCAGCTCTGCATTTCTAGCAGGTTCTGGTCCCCCACTTCCTCTCTCTCCTCCTCCCTCCCCCACCTAATTTATATCAGCCTTGAGGGAGGCAGAAGGCTGGGAAAAGAGCCCCAGTTTCCAGGTGAAGAAGGTGACGCTCCAAAGAGACAAGATCACCCCAAGGTCACAAAGATTGTGCCAAGAATCCAACCCACTCTGGTAACTCCAAGTTGGTGTTCTTTCTCCTGCCACATCTATATACCAGGGCTCACCAATGCTGCCTCTGAAACATCTCCCCTCACGCTCACACCACGTTCACACTGGTACACACACACACACACACACACACACTTACTTCTGTCCAGCTTACCACCAGTTCTCCGCCAACTCTTAGCCTTCCCCCACCCCCGGCAAGGCCAAGGCAATCACTTGGACTCCCAGGAGCAGGTGGCATGCTGACCTGCTAAGAGCTGGACAGAGCTGGGACCTCCCATTTCCTGGTTGTGCAGCTTACTTAATTTCATTGAACCTGAGTATCCTCGCCTGTAAAAAAGAAAAGGGTGAAGGTGGATAAAAACAGACCCTGCCTCATCGGGTTATTTGAAAGACATGAAGCACAGAAGGCTTGCCCTGGCCTGGCCTAGTAAGAGCAGATACACATCCCGGCTTCCCCACAGCCCTGTCTGCTCACAGGCTCCAAATACCTCTCCCCAATTCAATATCCTCCCAGGTTGAAAACCTGTGCCCACACAAAAGCTGTACACCGATGTTCATGGAAACAGTATTTATAATAGCCAAAAAGTGGGATGAACTCAAATGTCCATCTATTCAGGAAAGGAGGAATAACACATCATCCATCCCTCTGGTGGAATATTATTCTGCCATAAAAAAGAATAAAGTGTTGACAGACATTCTAATAAGGATGGACCTTGAAAACACTGTGCTGTGTGAAATAAGCCACAAACAAGAGGACAAATACTATATGATTCCACTTATATGAAAAATATAGAAAAGGGTACCTGGATGGCTCAGTGGGTTAAGCCTCTGCCTTCAGCTCAGGTCATGATCTCAGGGTCCTAGGATCAAGTCCTGCATCAGGATCTCTGCTCAGCAGGGAGCCTGCTTCCCTCTCTCTCTCTCTCTGCCTCTCTGCCTACTTGTGATCTCTGTCTGTAAATAAATATATTAAATCTTAAAAAAAAGAAAAGAAAAGAAAAATGTAGAAGAGGCAAATTCTTAGAGAAAGCAAATCAGTGGTTGCCAGGAGTCGGGGGTGGGGGCGGGGGGGTGGAGCCGAGGGAGTCCAGAGTGACTCCTAATGGGTGTGGGGTTTCTTTTTGGGGTGATGAAAATCTTCTGGAACTAGACAGTGATGATGTTTGCACGTCTCTGAATATATGAAAAACAACTCAACTGTACATTTTAAAAAGGGTGAATTTTATGGTATGGGAATTATATCTCAATAAAGCTGTTATGTTTAAAATTGCCATTAAAAAATAACAAAACAATAAAATGATGACTATTTAAAATCCAAAAAGAAAATCCTCCCCAGGTGCCTCATTCTCTATAAGACAGAGTCTAAATCACGCGGTCATGTGAGACCTCCCCGTCTGGCCTCAGTCCACCATGGCACAAACCTTGAATTTGTCACTCATGACATACACCCCCCTCAGTATACCCAGGATGACATTGCAGGCCTGAACTCCCAACATTCAGCCCCAAAAAGCCACTGAGGGCATTTGCGTGGCCCTACTCCTGTGTCAGTCCTGGCTGTTACCCTGAGGCCAGCAATGCGTGCGACTTGCAGCAGTCTCCAGCCAGCCCAGCTTATCTGTCCCACAAAACCAGGACCTCTTCAGGGAAAGGCTCTGGACCACCTGTTTCCCTTGTCCTCTAGTCCCCAAGCCCCAGCCCTCAGGCCACTATTGTGTCGATACCAACTGCAGAATCCTCAGGACTGCCTTTGTGCTAAACCCTCCATAATGGAGCAATCCAATGCTGGCCTCCACTCTCCTTGACTGGCACTCTCAGACTGACTGACAGGTGGGGAAACGGGTGGCAGGTAATGCAGGAGAGGTAGGGAGGGAAACTGATCAAGGTCTTGGTGCAAGGGGAAAAGCTGGGATTTGTGGCACCTGGGTGGCTCAGTCATTAAGCGGCTGCCTTCGCCTCAGGTCATGATCCTGGGGTCCTGGGATTGAGCCCTGCATCAGGCTCCCTGCTCAGCAGGAAGCCTGCTTCTTCCTCTCCCACTCCCCCTGCTTGTGTTCTCTCCCTCGCTGTCTCTCTCTCTCTGTCAAATAAATAAGTAAAATCTTAAAAAAAAAAAAAAAAAAAAAAAAAAAAAAAAAAAAGCTGGGATTTGAAGAACGGTCTTCCCACCCATTTGAGATATAATTGGGAAGCAGCTAGATACATAGTAGGTGTTCTACAGTGTATCATTCTGCAAATGTCAATCCAACCATCCCATAATTTGAATTTAAAGCTGCATACTGGAGAGCAGGCACCCCTAAAATGAGCTCTAAAAATGAAATAAGGAGGGGTGCCTAGGTGGCTCCATCGATTAAGTGCCTGACTCTTGACCTCAGCCCAGGTCTTGATCTTAGGGTTTTCAGTTCAAGCCACAAACTGGGATCCACACTGGGCAGAGAGTCCACTTAAAAAAAAAAAAAAATTAAAAAAGAAAGAAATATGCCTGACTGATTTTGCAGTAAAGTAACTAAGAATACACAATACAGGTGGCTGGCTGCACTCAGAATTTTTCTAGGTACCAACACACAAGTGCAGACTGCAGTACAGAGCACAGTGACTTGACATTTTCCCTCAGCATTAAAAAAAAAAAAAAATTAATGAATTTTTCTTCAAAGATCACGCAAAACAGGTTCTACGTGAGTCACACAAAGTCAAAAAGCATTGTGAGGCAGTCACCACACAGCCCAGTTGGCATGTCTGAAAATGCAAATATTAAATTTTAAAATCTGTTTTTAAAAACTGGTAACACCCAGTGCCAGTGTGGGCACAATGAAACAGGCAGGCTCATACGTTCTACCAGCGAGGCAAGCAACGCACTCCTTTTGGAAAGTCATTTGGCGAGGGGTGTCAAGGATTATAAAGATGCCTGGAAATTAAGCTAAAGAAGTAATTTCCGTTTCGCCAAGAAAGCTGTATTCGTGAAAATATGCATCCCTGCAGGACTGGTAACAGTGAAAAATTGGTTTCTGCTTGAATATCTAAATAGAAGAAAGGATAAGTGGATTACAGCACATCCGCGCCCAGCAGCATCCTGGGGCTACTCAGAATTATGTCCATATCACCCTTGTATCACCGTGGGGCGGGGGGGACCTTCTCTTCGTTTAGCTGTTTGGCATTAAAGATCTGAAACTGTCCCTGCTCTGTGATCACAATTAATTTCGATAACAAGCCACCTGGCATAAATCACAGCTGTAACTACTTTAAAATTACAGTTCTGTGATGAGGGAGAAATATATGGCTTTTTTTTTCTCCCTTTCTCAAGCTCCTAACTTCCTTTTCATCTTGTTATGCCACTCTTATATAATTAAGGAAAAATACAAAAATAAATAAAAACAAATGCATTTTGAAACTGCTTGATCTCACATCACTACCAAGGCCTGCCTGCTCCCCTGAATGAAGCAGCCACTGGAAATGCAGGGTTGCCCATTCACTTTCTGTTTATCCAAACTGGGCAACTCCTGCCAGAAGAAAATATCTCAGCAAGGTGACACCTGGCGCAGGCCTGTCCCAGTCACAGAGCTACATCTCCAATTAAAAGGGTCACAGGCTAGCAAAGGGCCCCCGTAACCTGGTATAGAAAATGAAGCGTTGACAAGCTGAGGCAATGGGGTTGGGAATTACTGTTTTAATTGTTTTATTGATCATGATCACGATGCTTGACACAAGAGAGGCCCTGGATAGGGATTTGAGGCAGAAATGTTTTACGTGGGAAAACGCACTTGTCCACCCACACTCTGTGAGTGTCCCGGGCCCAACGCACCATGCACACCCCTCGGGGCCTGCAAAGTGTGCACACTAGGGCCTGTCAACAGAAACTGTGTCTGGAAGTGAGCACCTCCAGCAGACAGGAAATGGGTACTTTTGTCACCAACCTGAGAACAAAATGATAAGAAAAGTTAAATGTCACTGTGGGAGAAAAGGCCACAGGGGGAGGGGCAACTCATGTTTACAAAGCATCTCGGCACCATCTCTGTTCTGGGGTCATTTGAGCACAATTTCATAAATTCCAAACACCCTGATTCTAGAACCAACTTGCCAAAGCTTGAACCTGGTTTTTTCGTTGATAAGCTGTGTGACCTCAGCCTGGGTGCTTAGCCTCTCCAGTCCTCATTTTTCTCTCCTATAAAACGAAGCCAAGAAAGGAACCATGTCTTTGAGTGGTTCTGAGGACACACTCAGTGGAAACACAGAAAGCACTTAGCACGATGCCTGGTGCATGGAAAGCATTCGGTGGCAGCTAACCACTAGCGCTGTGATTCCATTTTGCAGACAAGAATGACTGGGCCTCACAGAGGTTCAGCAATTTCCCAAGATCACACAGCTGGGATTCAAACTCAAGCCCACAGAACTTCAAAATCTGTACTTTTGGGGGGGTACACCTGGCTGCCCCAGTCTTTAGAGTATGCACCTGTTGATCTTGGGGTCCTAAGTTCAAGTCCCACATTGGGTATAGAGATTACTTAAAAAAAAATATATATATATAGGGTGCCTGGGTGGTTCAGTGGGTTGAGCCTCTACCTTTGGCACAGGTCATGTTCTCAGGGTCCTGGGATTGAGCCCCACATCAGGCTCCCTGCTCAGCAGAGAGCCTGCTTCCCCCCACTCCCCCGCTCTCTGCCGGCCTCTGCCTACTTGTGATCTCTCTCTCTCTCTGTCAAATAAATAAATAAAATCTTTTTTAAAAAATCTGTACATCTGTACTTTTTTCATTAGAGCAAGCTAAACCCCACACCTGAGGATTACTATGATTTCCCCAAATACACACACACACATACACACACACAAACATCTAGGGCTGTCATGACAAAAGGTAAAAAGATCATAACTGGAAATAAGATAGTACTAGAAGGCAGTAAACCCAAATTCTAGTCAACTGTAACTTGGGGGAAATACAAGCTTTGTGTCAGGGCTGTTCTTTCCACTCATCCCCTTCAACAAACGTCTTTTGGTGACAGGCTCTGCTCCAGGCGTAAGGACGGAGCCGGGCACCACACAGAGAGGGACCTTACCTCCCGACGCTCAGGTTCCAGGGTGTGGGCAAACAGAATGAGGAACTACTAACAGTTTCAGGCGGTGATAAGGACAGAGGATGTGAGGCAGGACAGTGGGATAGGGGGCTCTGGGCAAAGGCCTAAGAAGCAGCCAGGAAGACGTGGGGAATGCTGCCGTGAGGGCCCCTGAAAGAGACAGCAGGCACGTTCCCGGGCCCACAGCATGGCGGCAACTGGAGTGGGAAATGAGGAGGCTAAAAGGGGGTGGGTGGATGAGACGCATCGGAGGGGAGGGAGGGCTGTGCTCACGCCCAGACCTGAGCTTCAGGGCCTCGCAGGCCACCACCTGCCTGGGCTGATACTAAGTGTGACACGAAGCCACAGGGGGTTTCAAGCAGTGGCATGACGAGAGTTTGTGGGACGGGAAGAGTCTCGGCGTGAGAGTAAAAGAGCCTCACATAGGGCTGGCACTTCATAAAGGGTCCTTCTCCCTGGGTTTCCCCGTCCTCGTGCCACTAACCCTCTGTAACCCTGGACAGTTGTGCCCATTCTGGCCTCTGTTTCGGGGAAAAAAAAAGGGGGGGGGTGGTCAGTAGTTCTCAGCCCAGGCTGCACATTAACACCATGTGAAAAGTTTGAAGAAAAACACTAATGAGCAAGGCTGGGGATGGTGTGCCCACCACCCAGATGCTCAAATCCCATGACTCAGGAGTGCGGGCACCGATCAGTATTTCCTAGAAGCTCCGCAGATGGGGGCCTGTTGAGAAGGACCCACTTAGAGGGGCTTCTAAGGCCTTCTTCCCCCTCAGGGGTGTAAGCACTACCCAGGAGGAGCGCCCAAAGACACAACGTGCTGCTTTTGGGAGAGCAAGTTTCTCCTCACTGAGGACACGCAAGCAAAACTCACGTTCTCAGAGATGAAACTCAAGAATCAGACACCCGTCAAAGATCTTTTCCGAGGGGCACGTGGGTGGCTCAGTTAAGGGTCTGCCTTCGCTCAGGTTGTGATCCCCAAGTCCCGGGATAGAGCCCTGAGCTGGGCTCCCTGCTCAGCGAAGGGTCTGCTTCTCCCTCTCTCCCTCTCTCTCTCTGCCGCTGCTCATGCTCTCTAATACATAAATAAAATCTTTTAAAAAAAATTTTTTTTTTCCAAAAAAGATTTTGTGATTTTATGACTTGCTAGGTGACACACCAGTGAGCAAGTTCTAAGCCCCAGAGAGCAAATAAAAAGCAAGTACACCGCTCCTTGCCTTTCTTGTGGCCACAGCAGACATCGCCAGTTGATCCCAGCACCCTCTCCTGCTGAGCAGGCCAAGCCCGCTGGTCAGACTCTCCCTTCTATGCAGGACCCCACGTAGCCACTATCAATCACTTGCAGATGGACAAAAACGGGAACCCATTTGTCTTCCCTGGCCTAATGTCTCAGAGTCCTTTCTCACTCTCAATGATCCTTTTTATCTTCTTACCAGTAATGATTACCTACCAAGTTGCCAGGCAATGTGCTTAGCTGGTTTGAGGCCAGACTGTGAAATCACACATTCCATTCCTGACTCTCATACTCTCTGTCCTCCCCAGGTGACATCCCGAGCCAGACAGCTGCACCCCCAAACATTTACCGGACAGAGCCTGAGACAGACCGTAGATGAGATCAGGGCAAGCCAGTGCTATTCCTGGAAAAACTCATGGGAGCTGATGTCCTGTGCTATCACTGAGTCGCCCCAAATGGGACAGTGTGTGTGTGTGTGCACACGCGTGCACCAGGCGCCATGCTGGGAGCCTCCCCATGCATTTTCTTGTGGAATCGAGATCCCCAGCCTCTGAGGTGTTTACTGTCCCCATTTGGCATATGAGAAAATTCAGGGCTTTGAAAGCATCGTGTTGCTGTTGGTCACAAAGCCAGAGAAAATCCTGGAACAGCCACATCCCTGGCTCTGGGCAAGTCCTTTCACCTCTTTGTTGCCTCCTCTCTACAAAAGACGTGACCACCGATCACCACGAGGGTGAAAGGAGGGCCCCATACACAGTGTAGATGGTACGGTGGACATTGCAGAATAACGGGCTAGGATCCAGGTAAAAGAAAATGGAGCCCCAGACAACAGGATGTCCAGACCAGGTCTGACCCACACGGACTTGGGAGCGCTGGAGCGGCTTCACAGAGTGCTGTTTTCCTGAAAAGCTGTATGCTCGCTGAGTTTTCCGAAAGCCAATTGTCTTTGCCGCTGGCCGGCCGGCATCACTGGGGAGTTTCAGTGGGTTTCCCAGGTTTCTCCTCCTGCCTCATTCCCGCTGGTGTGTCCTCCCCAGCTCGGACAGAATTATCTCTAGGTTTATGCCCTGGGGCCTAAAAGCTGAAAATTGCTCCAGGGAGCTGCTGGGAGGGGGAAATTGGCAGTGCCTCTCTTTGTAATGGGATCTCCCTTTGACTGGGTCTATCTCGGGTGTGGAACTTGGCACATTTGAGCCTCTCCCTCAACCTCACATCCCCAGCTGCACACCTACTGCATTAACACTGGCTTCTCCCCCACCCTGGAGGATGGGAATAATGTCAGTTATCCCCATTTTGTAGGGCAGGAAACTGAGGCCGAGAACACAGGGAGTGATGACGCATAGGAATGAACCCCCAGGTGCCAAGACTCCTTGCACAGTGCTTCCTCTCCCACAGTATCCCTAAAAACTCTCCCTGAGCAAGCAGAGAGTCAAAGGTGAGCCCTCTCCTGAGACCTAGCAACCTGGCTGTCTGCCCCATCTGTAAAACTCTGGTTCGTGGATACCTACTGTCACACTGGGAAGGCGGATCAGTTACCAACAGGATCTCATGGAAATGGAGGGACAGCAAGCCCCCACTACTGAGACTGCCAGGTACCGGCAACCTAAACCTTTGCTTCAACACAGGCACTGCCCAAAGCCATGGTTCTCAACCAGGACACGGTCCCCCTCAGAGGACATTTGGCACTATCTGAAGACATTTTTCATTATTACAAGTGTGAGTGTGTGTTGGTGGGGGAAGGGGTGCTTCCGGCATCTAGCAGGCGGGGAAGTCACTAACCATCCTACCACGCACAGGACCATCCCCAAAACAACAAATTAATGGGGCCCAAGCATCCATAGTGCTGTGGTTGAAAACCCTGGTTTAAAGGAAAAGAAGGCCTCACTCACCCCGACCACACTCTCAAGGGCAAAGCTGAAATGCCAAATTCCAGGGGAGAGCAAAGGCTAAGTGCTACACACATATCTTCCAAAAGAAATCAAAAGACTGGTGGCAAACTCAGCGGTCAGAAAGAGGCTGAGGGTCTAAGTCCCACCCCAGTACATTTATCCTCTCTTTATTATTTAATAAGTGTGCTGAACAATTCTCTGTAATACGTACTTTATTTTATGTACCTCCTATAACAACCTGAGAGCTGAGTCCTATTATTATCACTATTTTATTTATTTTTTTAAAGATTTTGTTTATTTATTTATTTGACAGACAGAGATCACAAGTAGGCAGAGAGGCAGGCAGAGAGAGGAGGAAGCAGGCTCCCCGCTGAGCAGAGAGCCCGATATGGGGCTCTATCCCAGGACCCTGGGATCATGACCTGAGCCAAAGGCAAAGGCTTTAACCCACTGAGCCACCCAGGTGCCCTATTATCACTATTTTATAGTTAAGAAAATTGAGGCACGGAGAGGTTCTAACATGGTCAAAGTAAAACAAGGAATTCCCACCCAGGCATCTGTCTCTAAAGCCCTGGGTTTTAACCATTGCATTATACTGGCTCGGTCCAATGAATGAGCCCAGAGTGAGACTATCAACAAAGGTGACTTCATCCTGCCTGATGTCCACTATCATAGGAACAGACTCCCAGCAGCCAGGTACAAGGAAGCCAAATTGGAGGTTATCATTGATGTTACAGAGGCCCAGGTCTGAGTTATGAAAACAATTTCAGTATCAAGTCTAAACTCTAATGAGAATGCAGGATCAGAGAACAAGGAAAGAGATCGTTTTGGGAGAGAATGGTTTGCAGGATAAGATGAGCCTGAGAAACAGGATCAGGCATGAAATCAGAAGATGAGCATTTGATGATGAGACCAAGCTGTATGTAGCAAGTGTATAGCAATGGAAGAGACATGAGCTAGGCTGGAGAGTGGT